CCCGCCCGGCCCCTGCCCCTGCCCCCGCGCGCCGCGGCCCGGCCTCTCACCTCTTTCTGCTTGGGGTCCTGGGGGTAGACGTCGGGCGGTCCCAGCCGGGGTCGTTTCAGAGGTCTCTGCTCATAGCTGAGAAGCCCGAAGGCGGCCATGATCTCTCATGTTAGCCGGCAAAATGAATGAGTTGGAGACGGAGCAGGCTCTGAGCACCAGGGAGCAGCACTTGGCAGACAGGCTCCCTCTCTCCGGCCGCCTCTCTCTCTCCTACGAGGCAGACAGGCGCAGGTCGGAGGCTGCCGTCTCCTCGCACGCGCGCAGAGCCCCCATCCCCGCGCCGGGACTGGCCCCTGCAGCTCCCGCCTCCCTGCCGGGCCAGGACGAGTGCCGAGCGGGGGGCGCTGGTCACAGCCGAGCCACTGAGCATCACGTCCTCCTACTCCTACAGAAATGCCCTGCCTTTCCCTCCAGTCCCCGGAGGAGGGGTGCTGCTAAGTTGCCCGCTTGCGGCACAAACGCAGAGCAGGAGCCTGGCTCCCCCGAGAGGGGCTTCAACTCAGCCGGGGTCAAATGTGTCCCGACATGCAGAGAGAAGGCATCTCTCCCGGCCAAGGATGGGGCACAAGGGCTGATTGCAGCAAATTGCCTTAGCCTGGGGGTCAGGCCCAAGCAAAACTTCTTTGAAAAGAGTAGAACTGCGGTGCTGGGATTTTTGAAGGATGAGAGCTCCTCAGCCTTTCGGAAGTTAAACACTTAATATCCAAAGTGTTTCTGCCTCAGCAGCTACCCCAAGGAGGGCCCTACAGAGGAGCCCTGCTAAGGCTTGTCCGACTGGCACAGGAGAGGAGCGCAGCTGCGGCTTGCGCAGCAAGCAGGTGGGAATCTGCGGGAACTCTGGCAGCAGCCATGCAAGGGGCTGCTTCCCCATGCTTCCAGACCAAACCAGGGTCTCCAAGGGCCTCCGCTACAACAAAAACTAGCAACTCTTCAAAACGTAGGCAACTCACAGTGGCTTTAAGCTTTCTCAGCTCCTGTGTTTGGTGGGTGCGTTTAGGTGAGGTGGGAAAAAGCCATCCCCAGCTGTTAGTTATAATATCTAGCTTTTTTTTTCATCACTAGAGCTCAAAAAAACTCTGCAACTGATCTCTAGTAAGCAAGCAGATAAATCAGGACTAGAACCTGTGTCTTGTGAGCCTGGTAAGGACTCCAGCCACTAAGCCACACTGACTTCCTGCCTGCTTCTTTGCAGGTTATCTCCTCTGCCCCTTATTTTGAGGACTGTTACCTGGCCCCAGAACTATATAATTTAGTGTGGTGTCCCTCCACTTTCACTGTGTTGTAGTCTAGTTATCTCCAAAATCATTTCAAATGTGAGATTTTTAGAGGAAAGAACCCCACAGCATCTTAAATTTCTTGGAGGGATGGATTTTTGCATAGTCCTATTTCAGGTCTTTGTCTTTCATATTGCATCCCACATCTGGAACATAACTGACCTCTTTTAGGCAGATGTGTTTTGAAGAAGAGAGGCCAGCAGCTTTCAGTCCTCTCCTCTGGCACTGTATATTGTAGGTGCTGGAAAAAAGCCCACAGCTGTTGCATAGCAGATCTGCCTCCCTGAAGGGGAAATTAAGTGAAGGGTAAAGGGGGCACAGGGCAGAAACTCCTCAGCTGTTGTGCATGGTCCCCTTGCTTTGTTTCTGTCACATGACACTGGTAAACAACCACCACAAGACTCATTAACTCACCTGGCCATTCATTAGTATAAGTAAAATGGTATTTCCCTGTCTCATTCTCTGTCTTCAATCTGTAGCTCACTCCTACCTTCTCCTCCAGTATAGTTTTAAAGAAGTGGCACACCATATCTACACAGTTCCTTCATCTTCTATGGTATTCTATATAAATAAAGCTCAGAAAGTATTACTAAATTGATAAACAAATTGTAGACCTAGACAGGCCAGACTTAGTTATTTTCTAGCCTTGAGGAAGATCTTGTCCATTTGATTTAGCTGGATTATTAAATCCCAAAGGTATGACGCCTGTCCAAGAGTAGTGATTCTTTTCAGCAGAATTTTTTCCTTTCACTAAACCTGTGGAGTATATTGCAGTTGTTCACTTGTCAGAGAATAAAACCTTGACTCAGAATGTATTCCTACATAGAGATCATAGAGATAATAATAAAAAACTGAATTGCATCTGTTTAATTTCCCAGGACAAAACACATTGTGGGCCAAAAATTGAAGTCCTTACTACAATAACTATGGTCAGAGTCAATGGAGTTTTGCTTGAGTGGGAACTGCAAGATTTGTGCCTGGAGAAACAGCAAACAATTGTAGTTTACTGTATTAAATGCCACAATAGATAATAGTGTAATTTTTTTCCCTGCAATTAGTGGGGAGCCTGAGTGTGTTGAGGTGACCAGACAGGATTAGACTGTCACTTTACATGGAGTATAAGTGCACATACACCCAGAAGGTGCAGTGAACACTTGAGGGTCAAACTAGACAACAATCTGGGAATCAAGGAATCTCTGTTAGTTATTCCACCTCTTTTCAGGAAGCCTTTCTATTCCCATGGGGCATTCAGCTAGCACCTAAGCCTCACAAGTGACGAGGAGGTTATGAAGCCAAAACATCTCTCAACTACCTACCCAGTAGCATGCAGGGTAGACAAGTAGGCCCGGTAACTCCCACTCTCTTCCTCATGGCTGGCATCACATTCTGGTGAAGGCCAACAGGAGGAATAAGGGAAATCTTCCTCCCATTCTTCCCAGCCCTTCCATTCCTCTGCCTGAGCTGAACCTGAAACAACCAGGACGAGAGCCAGTCCTATTCCAATGATGAAAACCACGGCCATCCAACTGGCCATGGCTCCTGCACAGCCACTGCTCCCCCCACTGCTGCTACAGCTGCAGTGGCACCCAGGATCCCCATCCCTCCCCCGGTTTCCCTTTCCTACCCTCATCCCTACCCTCAGGCAGCACAATAGGATGGGCCTGGGCTGCCTGCACCACATGCCTGGTAAGGGAAGAAGCTGACAATGCTGTGCACATAGCAAGGAAAAGAGCCAAGGAGCTGTACACATTGCACATGTGGCAGAGGAAGAGATAGGCTGCCTGCATGGGAGGCAGGAAGATAGGATGGGGCTACTTGCGTGTTAGGAGGGAGCTAGGTTGTCCACACAGTGTGCCTAGCGAGTAAGGGGAGAAGTGATTCTGTACACATGGGGGGTGCCTGCATGGCAAGCAGCCCACAAAGCTGTGGCCCCCAGATCTGTGGACCATACTGTGTTTAGCCCCTGGCAGTCCAGAAGCTGGACAGCCCTGATGTAAAGGACTGCAGGGAGATCATGTGCAACATAGAATAGGACCACAAGTTGAGGATTAGGAGAGCTGAATTTGATTCCAAGCTCTGTCACTGTTGCATTGGGCAAGTAATTTATTTCTTTCACATCTAAGATTTGCACCTGAAGATTACCATGTAAGTGCTAAGTACCTTCATTACTAGACATCTATACTTTGGGCTCTCGTAGGCAACTCATGGGGGAACACGGGGCGGGGGGAGGCACATGCCCCCCTGAAACTGGCCACCACCGATGCCGACGCTTCTGTGGGTGGTTGCCAAACACCGCTTGACGATGACAATGCTAGCACTAGCTTCTGCAGGCAGTCGCCGATTGTTGCTCACAAACCCACTCCCTGCTGCTGATGCCGCCGGTGGCTTCTGCAGGCAGTTGCCACTCACCGCCCTGCTGCTGACACCACTGCCCACAAATTGTGCCCCCCCAGTCTCAGAAGGCATCAGTTGTTCATGTGGGCACCTATGGAACCTAAATTGAGTAATCCCATTGATTTCAATGCATAAAAGCCACAGGACATCATTTGTCTGGGAAACAGTGTGCCTTCCTACACTGGGTGTGTCTACACGAGACACCTTACTGCGCAGTTGAGAAAATTACTTTATAATAAGCATCACAGTCTACACATGCAGACCCCCAAATTACTGCACAGTAGTTTGTAGGGCTATGCAAAGCTTTGGTAGTTGATTCGATCTGGAGGAGATTCAGCCCAATTTGGGGACCGAATCTCCAAAGCTGAATCGAATCAGGAGACCAGTTAAAATCTCCAAATCGATTTGAAACATCGAAATTGATTCAGCAATGCTTTGGAAAAGATTCAGCCACTTCAGAGATTCAGCCATAGACTAAACAGGCAGCTGACACAGCTGCCTCCAGCTAGTAAATCTATTGGGGTTGGGGGAGGGAGGAGGGAAGGGG